CCAGATCTGACACCCAGCACCCACCCCTGGACTGTGGGATTTAGTCATGGATGGCTCTAGGGAGCAGTAGGATGGGGGCTGGGTGGCACAGGGCATCCATTTGGAAGCTTTGGAGACATCATGATTCCCTCCTTTGTGAGTCTTGCGCCTTCTCTGCAGGATGGGTGCAGCTGCACCTAGTTGATTGCTGAGGGTCAGGATGCTTTTAATATCCTGAAATCTATGTGACTCCCTCAACTCAGGGAGTGCCTTGGATGGGTCCCTTTGATGTGTCTATGGGCACGAGAGACTCTCTTCCCTCTTGTCTCTGGGATAGGACTAGACTTGGGCCATGGTAGACTACCTCCCCAGTGATTCAAAGGTGTCAGAAAGGCTCATCAGTCTCTGCACATCCCACAGAGGTGTCTAAACACCCAAGGTGAGACTCTGTTGTCTCCTGACCTCTCTGAATCTTAGATCTGCATCTCAGCAGCCGTGTGGTCTTGGGCAGGTACTTTCCCTGAGTCTCAGTGATGCCGTCTACAAAACAGACTGGTGAGAAGATGGACTGAAATGCTGCATGGGGAACTCGAAGTGTCAGTGCTCAATACGTGTGGACTGTTCAAGAGGGTCTTTCTGAATGAGCATTTGTCAGTCCCCAAGGAGCTCCCAGTGGAAATGCCTGGGTGCATTAAGGAATCCGTTGAGGTGTTCTGACCACCAGGATGGAAGTGGAGAGGGCTCAGGACCCAGGAAGATGGGGAAACTTTGGCCAACTTCTCTAGATGGGACCTGCAGACTAGGACTGGCCTGGGCGCTGTCCGTGGTGCTGAAAATCCATTTGGCTCTGGGGCAGCTGTGCTTTCAGAGTTCTGTGCATCCTCTGGCAGGGAGTAAGACATGGTAGCCAAGGCCAAGGGCAGCTCCCAAAGCCCAACCCCACTCAACTCTTCCAGGAACACTTTCTGGCCTCATTCATGTAGGCCTTGGGAACCTACCTTTCTCAGATGCCTGGGCTGTATCTAAGAAAAAAACACACTGCCTTGGGTTGATTCTAAGTCATAGTGACCCTATGGGCCCCTGTGGCCTTATAGAGGAATAGAAAGCCTTGTCTTTCTCCTCAGAGCACTTGGTGGTTCTGAACTGCTGACCTTGTGGTTAGCAGTCCACCACGAAACCACGATGCCACCAGGGCTCCCTTCTGAGCTATATTGAACCATCTGTTATATCACTCCTCAGGTTACCTGCTATCTGTAGTGTTCCTGTGAGTTGGAATCTACTCTTTGGCAGTGAGTGAGTCCTCGGACTAGGAGCTCTGATGGCACACTGGTTAAAGTTCTCCGCGGCTAATTGAGGAAGAGGGTGTGGCTGTCTGCTTCCATCAGAATGTTCTAGCACGGCAACCCTGGGAGACCATCCTCCTCTGGCCTCCAGGGCTGCCATGAGCCTGAATCAACTCAGTGGCAGTGGACTTGATGCTCTGACTGGACCCTGAGTTTCCTGGAGTCAGGCCATCTGTCTGACGATAAAATTGATTTTGTTGTCTGATTAGTCAGGAAATAGTGTCACCCTGGCTTCCTGCCACTTGTCCTCCTGCCTGCCCCTCACCCCCCACCCCCGCCGGCACCCCTCCCACCAATAGGCTTTGGTTTGCCGTCACCTCTTTCCTGGGAATTCCTTCTTGAGTCATTGACTTGGTTCTGTAATTCAGTCTTTGACTTGAATGATTTATTTGTTCATTGGATAAATCTAGTGAAGTGCAGGTCAAAGCGCGTTGCCAACCACCGTTTACTGCAGCCATCATGTCAGCCCCTCCTTGTGACTTGTCCGTGCACAACAGAGCAAGCTGTTGCCCAGCAGGCACCATCTTCACAGTCATTGGTCTATTGTGGGGTATCGCTCTGCATTTGAGTCCCCTCCAGCCTCAGGGCTCATCGGCTAGCACTCAACTGGACCTCCCATCCCTTTTGACCTTAGGGTTTTCATTGACTGGTTCTCAGAAGTAGATCACCAGACCTTTCTTCACACTGTCCTAGTGGGAAAGCTCCACTGAAGAGGTTACGTGACTTGGCAAGGACACATGACACCATGTCAATGACGCTGTGAAACACTCCACTGTGGAGCCTGTGTCTCTAACCTCAGGCTTATGCTGCCTCTGGAGCAGTCCCATGATGCTCCGGGATCCAGGCTCTATGGGGATGAGGGCTCTGGCAGTCCCACCCTGGCCCTAGAAATATCCCTGAGCAGCTGAAGATTTCCCATTGAAACAATTAGTCAGAATGCAAGGAAATGGGTGTTTTTGCCTCATATAATTTAGTTTTATGAAGACCACTAAATGGAAACGTTCTCCTGCTAATTACTGTCACAAATTTGGTCTGTAATTGAGAGGACTAGAGCTGGGGAGAGTGGAGAAGCCTGCCTAAGTGGCGGGCCTGCCTGAGTCAGCATTCCTGGCCACCCCGTGTGCCTGCTCTTCTAGAACCCCCTCTGACCCAGCGAGGGCAGTTTTCCGGACGGAGGGCCATGTGGCCTTGCGATGCCACAATGCTTCTGTTTTCGTTTCCCTGAGCCATTAATGAAAAGGCATGATGTCAGTGTGTGCAAAGGAGGCAAAGGAGTGTTTGTAAGGGGGGTGGTGAGTGACTGGGGGTCCCTGGGTGTGGCGCTTGATGAGTGTCCACAGATGTCTTTGAATGGTGTACATGAGGCTTGGTGGAGAGTGTCCCCAGAGTAAGAGTGCCCCAAAGTCACTGACATCATCCTCCCAGGGCCCACGACTCCCTAGTGGGCTGGGCTGTGCTGTGCTCTGGGCAGTGGGCTGTGCTGTGCTGTGCTCTGGGCTGTGGGCTGTGCTGTGGGCAGTGGGCTGTGCTGTGCTGTGGGCAGTGGGCTGTGCTGTGCTCTGGGCAGCGGGCTGTGCTGTGCTCTGGGCAGCGGGCTGTGCTGTGCTGTGCTCTGGGCTGTGGGTTGTGCTCTGGGCAGTGGGCTGTGCTGTGCTTGCTGTGCTTGCTGTGCTCTGGGCTGTGGGCTGTGCTGTGCTGTGCTCTGGGC